AAAAAGAAATTGTTATACTTCTGTCCTCTAAATGTCTGTATCTGCTGGAAGTCTGAAGAAGAAGACAAATTATGTCAGATTGTGGACGTTCCCACACGTGTCTCTGTCACCATGAACTCTATTTTTCTTTTCCTTATTTCTCCAGTCTTTTCATGCTGGGTATGGCATCATTGTCAAGTTTCTTTGAAACTTTTTCTTGCTCATGATGCTTGCTTACTTTTCTGCCCCCCTTTGGACCCAAATCGGCATTCTTCTCTTCATCCTTACAGTAGGGAAATTCACTACAGTATCCTCCTCAGCCACCCACCTGGCAAAAAGAAGGGAGAAATCTAACCGATAATACTTGTAAACTTTATAAATCTTTCGCATTGTTAAAAGCTTATCAATGCAAAGAACAGTCAAAATCAAGGTTAGACCGATATCATCATGGTTTTTCGAGGTAGAGGAAAAAACATTCAGGATTACTCTAGGGGATATCTAGTATAAAACCTCAGGAAAAGACGAATCAGTAGCTTTTAAATGTTGACATTAATCGTGGGGGGCCAAAGCAGCTAGCTTGCACAAAATTGACCATATCATTTTGCCTTGCGTGCCATAGCCTAGCTATAAGTGATACAGCATTTGACCAGTGGCCACCACTTCTTCTTCTTCTTCTTCCTTTTTTCTTCTATGTTCTTGTGATTTTCGAATAATCTCGAATGATAATGTAAAAAATATACATCCACTAGCTAATCGATGATTAGATTAATTAAGAAGCCGCATAATTATTGCCTTTTATGTATTCATGTGGCCAAAATATAAGGTAATACGAACATAATCATGATGCAAGTTTAGGTGTGTGTCTACTATTAAAAAAAAAAAAAAGAGAAAGTTGATTGTAACAGGAAGCACCTCAAGGGAACAAGGAAGCTACAAATGGCAGAAAGGTGGATGTTTCTTGTCATGATTCTGTCTTTGCTCATTTGTTAAAAAAAACGGGGGAAATGTAGCGTATGATGAGCAAGACAACTTTCGAAAATAAGTTCTTCTATAAACCATGTGACACTTTGGATTTATGAACCACTTTATCCAGTTTGGAAAACATTTCTATTTATAAAAGATGTCATTAATTCGATCGGATTAAGGTGAAATTCGAACTTAATTAAGTTCTGATCCGTTCACTATTCTTTTTTTTTTGTAATTAAGAATCGTTAATTATGAAAAACAATTAGATTTTATTTTAATCTATTTATTTTAGTTTCTTCAATCGCACCATGATGGCGCTGTGGCTGTCAAAAGCTTTTCTTATCCCTATCCTCTCTCTTTTCCACCTTATCCTTAGATGAGCTGGCTTTATGGTAAAATAAGTCTGCGATTTTTTTAATTGTTGTTTATTGCCACCCCAATTATTGAATTAATTAAATGTTCATCCAATGGAAACTATTATGAACATTTGAAATGCAAAAAAGAAAGAAAAAAAAAACAAGAGAAATTTACTGTGATTGGGGACTTCGTTGTTGCTAACTGTATATTAATTCAGGTAATTTAAAAAAATAAAATAATTAAAGAGAAGGAATTATTTACCTAAATTGGGTGACAAAGTGGTACAAGAAGATTGAAGCTTCCAGCCTCGCGAGGTCAAGTCCAGGACATAATCTTTGTCCTCCTCCAAATGGAGTGAAGCTGCCATTAATGCTCATATCCTTGTCCTGTAAGATCAGAGCAAGTTAAAATGCCAGAAATTAAAGACACCAAATTAATAGCAAGAACTATTTGTGAAGCTATTCATTTCTTACCTGCCACCTCCATGGATTGAATTCGTAAGGCCACTCATAGTTGTTTTCATCAAGATGAACTGACCTGAAATATGCAAAAGCACACCATCCTTTCGGTATCAAGTACCCTTTAATTTCTGTGTCTTTCATTGCCTTTCTCATCACCCCGATTATTATGTTTCCCATCCTTAGAGTTTCTGTGATCACCTATATATAATTAGGGAAGAAAACATATTTATTGTTAATATTTTCACTCATTTTAATTAATTCTTCATCAAATAATGAGGATTGAAAATGGGGTTCATACATACCGTTTGAGTAAAGGGTAGAGATAAATAATCAGTCCAGCACAATGGCTTCCCTTGCTGAGCTTTGAGACTTTTCAATTTCATGTTCTCATTCTGATCAGATTCAATCATCATATGTATGAAAAGACTGCCTCAATAAAGATAAAAGGAAAAAACGACACGGGAAAAAAAAACAAAAAGAAGAAAAAAGTGCTATGATGGTTACAAGTCACACGTGGAGAAGTCACAAAGTCGACATTGATAGGGCACCAAACCATAAAATTGACGTTAACTGAAGCACTACAATTTTGAGAACAATCCCTGCACGTTTCCACGATGAAACCCCAGGATTCTGTTCTTCAAGGAGGATACTTTCATTGGGATAATGGGTTCGAATTTAGTTATTTTTTTTATTTTTTATTTTTATGATTTGAATTAAATTAAGAAATTTTAATTGTCAAAGAATAATATAAATCATATCTTAGGATCTCATCTGATAATTTAAATTAACCATCTCAATCAAATAGTTTAAACTGTTAGGTAAGTAAATTAACCATCTCAATCAAATAGTTTAAGTTGTTAGGTAAGATCTCAATATATGATTTCTATTATTTTCTAATACACTCCTTCAAATGAAAACCCTTTGGGTTTGAAACTTACACAGATCAACATTACCTTGTGCTTAATTTTTATCAAATTAATAGGGATGCAGAGATTCAAACTCATGACTGCTTAACCATCAAGGCTCTCATACTATATCAAAGAACTATTTTTATCCAATAGCTTAAATTTTTAACAAAGAACTATTTTAACCCAATAGCTTAAGTTGTTAGGTGAGGTCACAAGATATAATTTATATTATTCTCTAACAATTCTTTGTCGTGATATCAGAGATTTGATGACTAAATGATCACGAGTTTAAATTTCATTATTTCTATTTATTTGATAAAACTTCAACACAAAATAGTTTAAATTTGTGCAAGTTCCAAGCCCAAATTTTTTATTTCAAGGAATATATTATAGAATAATATAAATTATATTTTAAGACCTCATTTAATAACTTTAAATTTTAAATTAAATTGATTATTTGACACTAACTCTGTAAAAAGATAAAATTCAAAGCCAATTCTTTTCTTTAATTTAGTTGTATGTTTCTATCTTAATATTATTATATAAACATTATAAAAAAAATATCTTAAGAAACCAATTTAATATTTTTTTCAAATAAAAAAACTTAAAAAATCAATTTTTAAAAGCTTCTTGAATCGCAAAATCGAAGCTCATCGGTGTTCGTTATAAAAATGATGATCTTGTTGTTCATCAGTGCAGTCAGTTCTGTCGGTGGGCAAACCCTAGTAGCTCTATGGAAGACCGATGAGAAATTAATGGCATAAGATAAGAGTGTGATCATAGGGAAAATGTCCCCATAGGATAAGAAAGCTGAGAACAACAATAGTATTATTTGCGAAGGTAGTCAAAATAATTGGTCATAAAACTCAGAAAATGACAAATAAAAAATAATAAATGGACACCTAGCTAGCTATATATAGCTATGAAAGAAAATGACTAATTATTAAAAGAAAACAATATGGCATTAATCTTAATGAATTTGATATTTCTTGCTGCTAATTAATAACTCAAAGAAATTAAGTTAAGAATATATATATTGAAGAAGGGAGTTGGGAAATTAATAAATTGAGGAGCATGCATACCGTTAATTGTTGCAGAGCAGCAGGGCAATCTGAAAGGTACTTAACAGCAAGAGTCATAAGGACCGGTACTGAATCCTCACCAGGTATCATCATATCGATCATATTATCAGCTATTAAATCATCTGTTAATTGTTCACTTGCATCATTAAGCAACACTTCCGCTACATCTTTTGGTGCCATTGAAACAATCCCAGCTCTACCTTCTCTTTTAGATTGGATGATTTTCTGCACTAACTTCACCATTTTCTTCTTTGCCTGGAAACCCAAAAGCAATTTCATTTTTCATCATTGGTCACTTATATATTTTTCTATCTCTTCGTACAAATTAAGAGGATGTGCGTGTGTGTGTCTGTGTAGCGTATCGTTGGCTATTAACTTGCCTGTAATGATCGATAAAGTTGACTTCCGGGAATGTTTAAAGGTAAGGACATGAGACCAGCAATGAATTCTTGAAACTGTTTCTTTAGCAGCTCCATTTCTTCACCAGGATCCAAACTAATCAATGCCTTGACTAATACTTGAAAGGCAATCTGGAGACGTTTATACAACAAAGGGTTTTTACTTGGTAACTTTTTGGGGAAATTAAAGGGCTGTAAATAGATGTTGTAATCATCATGAGTCTCTTTTACGATACAATATGATTCATGCAAGCCCCATACTCCACTAAGCTTGGTTTATTACTTTCTAGCAAAATCATTCCAAACTTAAGTAGAAGCCGGAGATAAAATTCAAACATTAATCGTTTCTTTCTTTCACTAGAGAGAGAGAGAGAGAGCGAGAGAGGGTGTGTTATAATTGCATGTACGTCGTAGTGATTTAATTGGGTTCTCTTTTGTGTTTTTTCTTCATTAAAACATGTAAAAAAAAAAAAAACATAGAAGAAGATGAAAGATGCCAGAGATAGGGTTAAGAGCCCGACATCTTTTGTTTTATCTTGTGTCTAATTGAACTCTTCTCAAAAAGAACAAAAAAAAAAAGGCACCGCCATAGAATCAGAGAATATCGAAGAAAACTAGCTAGAGATAGATTTCAAACTCCCAAAAAATAGAATTCAGCTCTCTAAACCGCGCATACACAGAAAACTGAGAGAGAGAGAGAGAGAGAGGGAAGAAGCTAGGGGACTAACATTCTTGGTTTCATCTTGTATGAAAATGGGCTGGTCTTCTCTCCATTTCTCCATTGATTCTTCAACATAACTTTGCATGTCTCGGGTGATTTGAGCTTTGAGATGAGGAGATTTGAAGAAGGCACCTATGAGACCATGAATTCTCCTTTGTAAGCTCCCATTGATGAGCAAAATGGAAGATTTTCCCATCAACTCGGTTAGAGATTTCGGGTAAGAAGGAACGAACACCTTTGCATCACTTTGTAGTATAAATTTGCTCACTTCTGCATCTGTTGATACTATAGTCGGACTTCCAAATATATGTGACTTGAACACCTTCCCATACCTACAAATTAAAAATGGAAAATAAAGTGAATTTTTAGTATATACCAGCTAGCTACAAGGTTAATTTTGTGGTTAACAAGTTACCATAACCCTCTTCTTAAGCATAATTTCTGATATGTGATGTAATTACTTTCTAATCACAAATTAGCCTAATCTAATCTAATCTAATCTAATCAAATCTAATCTGATCACCTGACAAGATAAGTAACCAAGATTAACCTTACATGTATATACCTAAAAGCTATACGAAAATGATAACAAAAAAAAATAAAATCAAGTATTGATTTGGGATGTTATATCTAGTGCAGCTAGCTAATACACGTATCCTTAACTGCTACTGCTACTACTACTTACATGCGACGGCGTTTATCCATGAAGCTTTCAGGGCGGTCTGAGTAAGCACATGAAACGAAGTCGATGGTTTCACCGATAAAGGGCCATCCAAGAGTGCCTAAAGGAAGTGGGGTTTTGTACTTTGATGATGATAATCTGATCATCATCATACTACTGCTACTAAACCAGCTGCTGTTCCTGTAGAGAAATATTATGGAAGTACTGGACAACAAGATTGCTAACGCAATCCACAATAAATTGTCCGTGTGAATATTCATGATATTAACTTGATTTCACACTCGTATCCTATTCCTGCAGAGCTCTCTGTCTCTGTCTCTCTCCCCCTCTCCCTCCTCTCTCTTTCCTTTGCTTAAATACGGTTTCCTAATTATGGCGATGATGAGTACAATATATATATATATATATATATATGAGAGGATGATGAGTAAGTATTTGTTTGTAAGGAAAATATATATGATATGAGAGTGTACGTACGAGCACGCGTGGGGCAGAGAGAGAACAAGGTTGGAGGTCAAGGTAGTGTGTGTAAGAATATTTGTTTTCTCGATTTGTATAATAATGAGGTGATGCTAGCTTGTGATAAGTATTAGCTACTGCTGAGCTTAGTATTGGCTTCTTTAGCGACGGTGGGCCTAAATGATGGCCCCCTCTACGATGAAAATCATATATATATATATATATAATTTATTTCTTATTAATCCCCTCTACGATGAAAATCATATATATATAATTTATTTATTATTAACCTGGACCAGTTTATATATATTAATTAATTTTATAAACCTTAAAATTAACATTTCTGCGATTAATAAATTTAAATTTATATATATCTAGACTAATTTTATATATTTTAAAATTAATGATTATATAAATTTTCAGTAATTATAAAATTTATAAGTTTTAATTAATAATTTTTAAAATATAAATTTAATATTTGATGAATTAAAATTATATTATAAAAGTTATATATACATTGATTATATTGTTAATCAGTGCTGGTAAAAATATTCTACCTTGTTAACTATTAACGTTAATTTTATATTTTATTACATTACTACTACAAGTGTGTATATTTTTGTGTTGTTGCTTCCAGCTCTTGTAAGTTTTTTTTGTTGATTTAAAGTAGTATTAATAAGAGGCTTATTTAAGTGCTTGATTTGGAAGAAAACTCTGATTAATTAAATATGTAAGGAAACGTTTTTCTTTGAAATATCTAATTTAATTTTACGTGAATCATTTAATTGGTCAGGGGTCACAATTATACGGTAACATGCATTGATCAAATTATGATGTCTGGAGATTGAATACATCAAATACCAACTACCGTATACAGAAGAAGAGTAAAAGAAACATTCTTCAAAAACTCATAAATAAGTATCATCATAAGTTCTTCTTTTTTTATGACAAAAAAAAAAACAAAACAATACATGAATCTTAACAGGAGGGGGAATTCATTGTTTCCCATTTCAAAAAGCGTCATACACTTTAACATTTGTATTTTTTTGAAGAATTTGTATTTCTTATTTATTTTTTAATAAATTTTTTTATTTCGATCTCATTATCTCAATAATAAGATTAGTGGGTGACTAACTCGATATTTTTTTTATCTTTTTCCTTAAATAATTTTTTGATCTTTTTTCTTAAATAATTTTTTAATTGTAACTAATTAATTGAGGAAGGGAATTCATCTTTTCATATTAAAAAAGTATTGTTCATTTGAATTAGTTTTTTTATCCTAATCCCATATCTTGAATGATGAGTTTGGTAAGTTAACTTGAGTTTTTTTATTTTTTTTAATTTCATATTTAAACATTTAGTTGTTTTTAAATTAACCTCCATAATATGTTTTGGTTTATTTTCTATAAGATTATCTTGATTTCATTACCTAGATTATAATTTGAATGGTTAACAGGGGTTAAATCGAGTCATTTCTTATTTTTTTTATTTTTTTTTATTTCAACCTTCAATATTAGATTAAATGGAAATTAAGTTTCATAATTTATGTTGATTTGATTTTTATGAAGTTATCTTAGTCACATGAATCGAGTTATAAGTTTGACAGATTAACCCATTAGATTGATTAAGAATCAAGTTTCATAATTTATTTTGATTTATTTTATACATGGTTAATCTGGTCTCATGATTAGAATCATGAATTTGACTAGTTAAGTAAAGTTAAGTTGGGTAAAAATAATATATTTTTATTTTAATATTAAAAAAAAACACGCTCACACACACATAATCACATTACTTTACTTAAAAAAAAAGATATTTTTGTTTTAATATGTTTTTTTTAAAAGACATAAATCGTAACATGAGGGGAACTCATTGTTTCTATTTCAAAAGGCATTATTCACTTAAACAGTTCTTTTTTTTTCTTAATAACTTTGTTTTCAATTTTATTTTTAACTATTTAGTTATTTTAAAATTAGATTTTATATTTTTTTTAGTTTATTTTCTATGAAGTTATTCTGGTTTCATTATCTAAGTCACGTATTTAGATGGTTAACCTAAGTTAATTTAAGTTATTTTTTATATTTTTTTTAATTTCAACCTTCATTATTAAATTGATTGGGAATTAAGTTTCATAATTTATCTTGATTTGCTTTCTATAAAGTTATCACAATCATATGAACTGAGTTATAGGTTTAATAGGTTAACCTGAGTTAATTTAAATTTTTTTATAATTTTATTTTTTAATATTAAATTAATTGAGAATTGAGTTTTTTAATGCATTTCAATTTATTTTATATAAGATTAATCTAATCTCATGACTAAAATCATGTATTTAATAAATGAACTCAGATTAAATTGGGTTAATTCAATATATTTTTATTTTAATATTTAAAAAAAATATATGTATAGTCAGTCACG